CAATTGTTCAATTATATGCTCATTACACTGTTCCATATTTAACTATCCAATAAGATATATACAAATCTTTGCAAGAAATAGTGTAAAAAGAAAGTTAATAAGCGGAAAGTACGGAAAACATAAAGTAGTCGATTAGGCGAGGACGGGGTGAGACGTGGCTTGAGTGGTGATGTTACAGGAGAAATAAATAGTACCGAGCTCTTATATATCAGAAAATTGTTTGATAACACTGAATATTATTATGTTCGTAGAAAAAAAAAAACACTTACATTATACACTATTTAGACATGAGGATATAATGTTTCTGATAGCATTTTGCCAAAACATGTTAAAATACCTTCTTTTTTAGTTTGATTCTAAATTGTATTGCTTAAAATTCAAAATCATTTGGCTTGTAGGTTTCCGATATTGTTATTTAGTAAACAAAATACATACTACATTGCAATATAAATAATACACCAAGGCTAAAAGTAAACATCCAAACACACAAGTAAACATTTTAGGTTTATAATTTTTGGCATATAGGTTCTAGTTTTAATTTTTTATTCTTTACTAATTATGCCGGAAACACCATTAATGAAACGGTCTAAACTTTGTAATACTACCAGACCTGAATCAAATTATTCAAAACAAGTAATTTGGATGCATTAGTTGTAATAAAGGGCCAATGCAGCAAGCCAACACCCTAAGTAAATTTACAGTCCAGCTTTGTAGAGTCGTAGTTAAAAAATGTTTATAATCAGCAAGTTAGACCTAGATCTACACTATTAGTGGCTAAATTAGTGCCAAGGGATAACAAATACTTTTGTGCCTTAACATGAAAAGAAATTCGGCTACATACATAAATTTACAGAAATCGTACAATCGAACTCCTTTAAGAAAATTGCTTTGTATTCATTCATGAATACATATGTTGCAAGAGATTAAAAACGTAAAGTTTAGCAACATTTATATTGTAATCTGTTATCTAAGATATGTTTCATCGTTATGTTCTTAGTTAAAATAAATACAGGACTGTTATGTTACTAGAGAGGGTATGAATTTATCTCAAACAGACATATCTATTGATCTAGATTTTAAAAATATGATACAAGTAAAGGTTTTACTTACTGAGGATTTCTCAATTTAAATTCAAAAGAAATCAAAGTAGAAGTGAAACATTTTGCTTTCAAACTGAAAAGAGCATCTCATTAAGCTATGAGGTAGGACGATCCTTAAGATTATCTTTTGTGTCATTCTTTCCTATTTTACCTAGAACAAATCATTGACACAACTTTTTTTAGGTTGTTGGGATGTTTAAAAACCTTGCCGGTCCGTTGCTGTAATTCTGTGTGCAGTGAATGCCATTGCGTCTGTACCGTTAATTGTCTAGGTAGCAGAGGTGTTATGATGTTATGGTCCTCGCTTTCAAATATGAAAGCTGCTGGTTTGATTCCGAATAAGATAGTTTCCAAACACAGATTATATTTCTCATCGGGCTATTAACTTAGTTATGTAAAGTACCAACAAGTCGATGTTAGACCTCAACAAGTCCAGGGTTGGACCCATCCCTTACAAACAAAACTTGATTAGGTGTACGATGCAGTTGTATGCTTGCAATATTGAGTGGTGCTAGCATATCAGTCCAATACCTTTCCAAAGTCAATACCGTACTACATCTGGTTAATGTAAATGGGATGTATACTTGCAGTAACATTAGTCAATGCTAAATCTAGTTGACGTAAATGAAATGTCTCCTTGCAGTATCCAAAGGCAATTGTACATATGCTTCAAATAAATGGGATGTCTACTGTCTTGCGGTATCCTAAGTCATTCCTTTATCTGTTTCTCATAAATGAGATTTCTACTTGCAGTATCTAAAGTCAATGGCTCATCTGGCTCTCATAAATTAAATGTCTACTTGCAGTATCTAATGTCAATGATATATTTGGATCACATGAAAATAATGCCTTTTTGCAATATCCAAAGTCAATGGTATCTTTGGTTCACGTAAATTGAATGCATATTTGCAGTATCCAAAGTTAATTGTGTGATGTGGAAAACAAAAGCAGAAGTTTAGTATAAGAGCTTCACTCGCTACGCTCATGTAAATGCCAAAGTCGTAGAAACCCAAAACAAAAAAGGCCAAAAGTCATACATTCAAACCGGTAGATTTTGCAATATGGTTTGGACTGGGATTCTCGACCATTCACTGTTTCTAAAAAATAAATGTACCGTTAGGCGCCGTATGTCATTGCTCCATACAATACTTTAGAGTAAAATGTGTATGCGTTTCATAATATCTCAAAAACCTTCATTTTTTGTTAATGTCGTTCTTATAAATAAGCAAACCATTTTCGTCTTTAGATATTCAGACCAGGTTTTCGTCACCAGATTTGCCTTGTGTAGGCGAATAATGTTCATGTTCACAGAAATTATATTTGAACATGAAAGCTTTCTCATCCGATGTTTAGGAAGTTCCATAACAAGAAACGCGTGCGATTAAAAGAAAATGAAAGTAGAGACGTGATCTGACTCGGCGGGAACGTCAAGATAAATGATTCCAGAGTCTACTGTAGAATTTATAAAGTGCTTCTGGCAAACTAATAAAAATACGTATCAAGCTACCTGGATGGAACAAAAAACACCATTTAGGCCAATGCCTCAACAGTGGATTGCAAAATCCTTTCAGAATTTAAATTTATTTAGCTATGTTATTTAATTATTGATTTCCAGGAATATGGTATTGCAAACGTTTTAAGCTGTATATTTTATGCTGAAATAAAAAAGATAGCGCATTATTTCAAAGGAACGACCAAATGTAACAGCTATTTAAGTTTTTTTATTTTTAAGTATCCGTTACATCTAAAGTTATTTTAACAGGGAATTAATCTACCAAGTTTAAGGAGTTATTTTTTTCAAAATCCGTCTAGCTAAATGGAAATTTACTTAGTCTGCAGGTTTGCTGCAGCGGTGTATTTTAATGATGATGAAATAGAAGAATTTGCTATGCACATTACGACGAATACTTGAGAGACTTGCATGTTGGCTTGAAATGGGTAAAAAATCGTTCATATTATACAGTATATTTTATGTTTATTCATATGTTTAGCTAAAAAATACTTACACTTCCTTAAAGTAATTAACTTGAAGTCTAGCCTATACATATTCATACCATTTTTTGTATGACGTAACTTGAGGTAGGTAGTTCCCTACTCACATCTACACGTGTTCCTATTGTTTCTAAACGTTGCCATTACTCGGAGTATATAATGATAGGTATCTGTATTGTAGAAATTTCCTTTCGTATAGTTACAAAAATCTGCTCACTAGCACAAAAGGTTAAAACACTTGTAAGGTTTGGTGGCAAAAATATTGTGTTTGAAATAGCTCCGTAAAAATCGGAAGTATTCTCCAATCCCTGATAGAACCAGGTCACTAACGGGTTGATAGATTTGCACGCATACAGTATTGCCAGCATACAGTAGTATGGTGAACGTTTCGACCATATGCAACGTAGCAGTTGGGTTCACGTATATAGCAATATTTCTGAAATTGTTTACCCACTGCTTAGAACTACAAAGAACAGTACCTCGTGGAGAAACATAATAATTTAATATAAAAATACGTTGTGGAGTAATCAAGACTAGTTTTTTTCCAAAAGCTTGAAAAGCTATATTATGATGTGAAATTGCTCTTTCTACTGCTTCATTATTGAACCATTATTGAATTGCTGATTGAATTGAATCTGTTAAGTTTTAAATAGGCCCAACTATCAAGAGTCTACGTCTACACACAACAGCAGAGAAATAGTTAAAAAGTCTTGATTACAACCCCTACATTACGAAGGACAAAGTGTGGATTTTACTAAAGTCAGTAACTATTAAATTTACTCTGAGCTAGGCCTATACTAAGCCTACACATCTAATTATTAAATACCAAATAAACTTTTTTTAAATTAAACCTACTGTAAATTATACTAAGGATTGTTGAATGATCATGAATTTAGTAAAATTATTGTACTTGAATACATTCCTTAACAAATTTTCCTATTTTAGTTTGGTATCAATATTTTTCCAGGTTACACCCGTATTTAGCTTGTTTATAGAATTAGATTTAAAAAATAAATCACACGTACAAAAATGAAACATAAACCTTTTTAAAAATATCAGTCAGTTGAACCAAATTTAGAACCATTGTTTTTCAATAAATACTTTAAATTGTGGGACTCAATAGTTGCTCAAAATACGCATCCAAATACAACAAATGAACCCCCTTTGTAATGTTTAGTTGAAAGCTTAATGCACTGAAGCGCGAATTCCATGCACTTCATGTAAAACTAGTTTCTCTATTGTAATATACGTTTCGTTTATATTATTGTTTGCAAATATCAATATACGTTCGGAATAGCTTTTTTTTACTAATAACGTCACTAAATAATATCCGTTGGGATGATAAATTACTATTTATAAAAATCTGTAAAGAACAATGCAAACAATTCTTTTGAATTTACAGTTTCAAAAATGTTTAACGATAACCCTTTTTCTTTTAAAAATGTTGATTTATAAAAAAAATAAGTTAAAGAAATACGTTATAAATGTAAACAGAAGTGTCCATGCCTTTCGGTTAGTATAATAGGTAAATATAATTTGGTAAAGTTAGGAAAATCAGTTGACACGGAATAGAATATAATAATGTGAAAATCCATTTTCTGAACCTGCTAGAGATTTTAGACATTGACTGATATTGTTATAGAAACTCAACTGATTATAATTCCGTAAATTATTATTTGGCGTTAATTAAAATATTCTGGTCCAGTGAATTTCAAACTATTGCTAGGTGGTCCGTAATGCAATTAATTTTATTTAAAGCTACACCAATAGAGCGGATTTTCACTTTCAAAACGACAACTTGAATAGAAACTGCAAATACATCTTTTGAAATTACGTTTGATGGGAAGGTAAAACAAATAGACAAAGATGTTACCTAAGGATTTTTTATACCTTTTAAACTAATCGTAATTAATTCAGAATGATAAGTTGTTATTATAAGCGTTTCGTATCCTTTACATTTCTTACAGGGTATTTAACTAATTTAGTACCGTTGTAGTACTACCACTGGAAAAAGATATAGCGTTACAATAATATGTTTCCAACAATTTAATATTTATACTGAATGATATAATAAACCATCTTCACACACATTTGATGTTTATTAGATCAATATTTAATTTGAGTTACAGATACGCTGCATTACAAGAACATAATGGCGGATTTTAAACGCAGATATTTTCCTTTGTAGACCACATGTACAGACACTCAACGTGTTCACAACATTTCAGATGTTCCGGAGCATTTGTAGCATTGCTGCACTGCAAACATTAAGACACATTTGTAGCATTACGTCAATTTATTTCAAAATATTATATATATAAATAGAAAACAATACAATGAGCAGCCTACGTAATTAGACAATTATTCAAACCCCTACTACACAAATATGTTGCAAATTTTTGTTTATAAACCAGGAATAGAACAATATTACAATACATGAATAAAATTAATAGCAACTAAGGATAAAACTTACAATGATTTTTAATTATGTCAAATTCCAAAAAAGTTCCACTAAATCCAGAAAATTCAAATTGATTCTTGACTTTCTAAATTGAGATATATTTAAATTACCTCTAAGCCCCTTGATAGACAGGAAAATGCTGGACAAAGTTGAAATGCCAACAACGACAATATCACTACAAGGAGAATAGACCGCAGCATGGCTCTGTCACCTACCTCCTCAGCTATGCAGTCACTGAACTGAAACGTTTGGTGGTTAAATGCTACAATAGGTCGTAAATTATTTGAGCTGATTCTTTCATTAACTGCTATTGTTATTGAAGTTTACTTAAGGTGCAGAGATCGATTACTTTCTACCATGTATCAGAATATTCATCTAGAAAACTTGTATACAACTATATTACCTGGTCATGTATTTTTTTCTTTTTGGCAGTAATGTCATAAGCATTCCTATTGATATCTATGTTAATCATGTGTTAACATGAATCATTTACACATCATTTCCCATGTTTTCCTATCAGTATAACCGTAATAGTGATAAATATCCGTCACTACATTACAGGCTGAATCTATACAGTAAAATATTTGTGGGAAGGTATGTTATCATTAAGGTAAACTTACGCTTTGTAGAGGACTCTCACAATTGCCATGTTGCATGTATAGTACCCTTAATGTGAAACTACAAGGACCCATCAAAGGACTCTTAAACCACCATGAACTGAGTGGGGTATTTGTTACCCTATGTAGTGTTCATAATTTTCTCTAAAAAATTAAATAATTATTTGCATATTATTTCTCTCTTTAATACAGTTGTGAGAGGCAAACACGTTACATCTTCTACGCCTATCGTTTATCGCGATATTATATATTAACACAGCAGATTTTCTCCAATCTGATCTATTAGTAGAATAGATTAAAGATTGTGTTTTGCTTGATTACACTTGTTCGTGATAAAATTAGGTGTTTAATTTTTTATTCAGACCTTTGATGTTCAATCAATTCAAAATTGTTATTGATCATTGCACCACACCTAGGTACTTTGATGTTTGATGATTGATCTTTGATTCGTATTAATCTTTGTTGTTTATTCTCGTTTTATATATGAGTATATACTAGTTAGTTTTAGTGAATTTCCCTTTAAAAAATAAGTTATTACCATAAGTGGCACGGTAAGACCTAGAGCCGGGACCGATATACTTTTTCATTTTGATCTCCATAGAGGCCAAAAACACTATTCGTTCAAATGTTTAAATATGTATATATAAAAAGGTCCGGGAACGTGATAATTTAGGTATTTTTTCTTCGATTTTGACGAAATATTGTTTGAAGGTGTAAGGCAGGATAAACTTGAATGAGTTCGCAAACCAGCATGATCGGACCATGGGAACAGGACTTTACGGGGGGTTTTATGGGGCTATAAATGTTTTTTCTTTCATTTTTGACCCTTAAAACATAAAACTTTCCAATTTATTTATCTCTAAACCATTTAGAGCTTAACAAACAAATAATTTAGCATATCAAAGTGTTTTTGTTCAATTATTGGTTACAAAAAAATCAAAAACTGCAAAATTGAAATTTTTATGTTTTTTTTTATGGAGAATATTGTCAAATGTTGTAGTTTGCTTGTTTATGGAATTATTTTGATCAAAATTGGCAAATGTATTTATTTTATAGTAAGCTACAAATATTTTACTAAAACACACTTTATTCTCTGTAGCAGCAAATATAGGTACTCATTAAACCTAAAGTTATTTAAATAGATTTAATTTAGAATCAATTCAGGCAAATGGAAATTCGCTTAGTCTGCAGGTTTGCTGTGGCGGGATTATTTTTATAATCAACTTAATCTGATTAACACTCAATAAAGCACCTATAAATGTATTGATCCCTATAAATGTATTTAGCTGCAATGGAGGTTAGATAGTTAAGTACAGAGAAGTATATATATAAAGTGACTCAATAGTAAATTTAAAATAAAACATCTGCATAACGAGTGGCCGGAGACCTATAAAAGGTGAATGTTTCAGTGCCTAACTCTAAACAACAGTTGGTTCGGGGTTGTTTTGAGGACGACGCACACTTAGTTAAAGATGCATGTGTTTATAATGATTATACATTTGTATAATTTTCAATACAATATAACATCAAAGGAAATTGAACCTTATAATAAAAAGTAGTGCTACATACACACACTACTTAGTATGTTACAAAAACTGAAATGATGTTTTTGCATTTAAATGGTCTGTGTTATTTTTTTAATATTTTTGTCACCCCTGACCCAGGACAACCTTTTTAAGCGTTTGGACCGATTCTATAAAAATGAAGTTGACAACAGTTAAAACTAAAACGATCGTTAACTTTTCCAAGTAATTCATAAGGTTAATAAGTTAAATACCTACCTTAAAGATAACGTACCTTCCTACAAATATTTTACTGTACAGATTCAACCTGTGTAGTAATAGATGTGACGGATATTTATTACTATTACGGTGATACTGATCGGTAAACATGGGAAATTTTGTGTAAATGATTTCTGTTAACACCTGATCAAAATAGATATCAATAAGAATGCTTATTAAGTTACTGCTAAAAATAAAAAAATATGACCAGGAAATATGGTTGTATACAAGTGTTCTAGATTAAATATTCTGAGACATGGTAGTAATCGATCTCTACCTTAAGTAAACTCCAGTAACAATAGCAGTTGATAAAAAAATCAGTTAAAATAATTTACGACCTATTGTAGCATTTAACCACCAAACGTTTCAGTTCAGTGACTGCATAGTTGAGGAGGTAGGTGACAGAGCCATGCTGCGGTCTATTCTACTTGTAGTGATATTGTCGTTGTTGGCATTTCAACTTTGTCCAGCATTTGCCTGTCTATCAAGGGGCTTACAGGTAATTTAAATATATCTCAATTTAGAAAGTCAAGAATCAATTAGAATTTTGGATGTAGTATAAATTATTTAAAATCTGACCTAATTGAAACAGTTTGAAATTTGTATACTAAGTTGACTAATAATTTGCTTTATAAATAGTAATATTTTTTATATTTATTAATAGGGTATAAATTAATTAACTAAAATTTACGTATATTTTTGTAGTACGTGTTTGAATGATTTTTAATTGCCTAGTCTGATCATATTAGTGTTTCGATTAACATAACGTATTTTTCCTACGGTTACCTGAGAAAGCAGGCTTCCGAGCACTGATAGCACAAAAAGTAGCTAATGGCTATATTTACTTACTTTTACCGCACTCCAGTATTCCAAACAAACAACACAAAACAAAGTGCTTTTGTAAGGCACGTAATATGCTTGAAAATATGTTGGCAACACTTAAATATACAGCGATTATGATCAGCTAGTGCAGCGTTTAACAGCCTTTGAGTATTGATACCACGAATAACCTGTTGTTTCGTGTTAACATTCTATTTTCGCTCAACGCTTGCATTTAACCTAACATAAAAGTAGTTGTTTAGTGTATGAATAGTTATTTCTGTAACTAGGGACTCGTGTTACACATTATATTTTCCCTACAGTTAATATAAATCATAGAAATTATTAGTCTTTAATAGTAGTTTACGCAACGATTGCGTTAAGTGAGTCTTTACGACACGAGTAGAAAATTTAAGGCACGAGCCTTGGCGAGTGCCTTAAAAACTTCTACGAGTGTCGTAAAGACTATTAACGCGAGTTGCGTACACTACTTTACCTACGACCGTTTTTTAATTACTATCAATCTGGATTCAATTACTAACAATAACTACTGATAACTTTTTAGAGAGGTTATGTTTTCGTGTATTGTCATTGCCACTGAAAGTGATGCAACGACTTGTATAATCAGCCGATTTCCTGTAATTACGTGTTTGTTAAACTTCGTTAAATATTACATTGCTAGCGAAATTCTTACCATAGCCTAAATAATATTGTATCAGGTACAATTCGGCAAATATTTCATTTATTTTTGGACTTCCACCAACTTAATTAAGAATACGCGAGTATCAACATGAACAAGTCGGATAAACAATTAAATTGGTCAACTGATCAGCTGATCAGCTGATTAGTTGTCGTTCGAAGCATTACAATTTTAATTCTTTTCTCTCAATACTTGAACCTCATTGGTCAGTTTCCTGTGTGGATATGAGAAAACTATGCGGATATGAAATGAAACAATGCGGATATGAAAGTAAACAGCTGTAAAGTGAAACTTTTCAATTCTAAGAACTGGACTGAAATGGCTACTTTAAAAAACGGTCGTAGGTAAAACACTTAACAACACGTTTAGGTCAAATCCAAGCGTTAAACGAAATGGAAAACACTACAACAGCTGATCGTAGTTGTAATATCTTTAAGTATTGCCAAATTATTTGACGCGTACACGTATTACGTGCCTAATAAAAGCACGGTGTTTTGTGTTGTTTGGTTGGAATAATGGTGTGCGGCAAAAAAGAGGGTAGAAAAAGTAGGTAAATGCAGCAGTTAGCAACTTTTTGTACTATACAATGTGAATAATGTATAATGTAAATATAATGTGTAACGTGAGCACAATGTGCCTTAGCTCTACTCAAGAAACCTTTCATGTACAAACATTTCTCTCATGTGCAGCAAAGTGCCACTTCGCCCACTTGTTACACAAATGACTATTTAAGTCATATGACGTAATAATTTAAATGTGTTCTATTGTTTTTTGCAGTGCAGCAATGTTACATCTGCCCCGGAACATCTGAAATGCTGTGATAACGTTGAGTGTTCCTACTTTTGGTCTACAAAGGAAACTAGATGTGTTTAAAATCCACCATTAGGTTCTTGTAATGCAGGGTATCTGTTACCAAATATTTGTTCACTGTAACCCAAATAAAATATTGATCTAATAAACATCAAATGTGTGTAAGTATGGTTTATTAAAGCATTTAGTATTATTTCTTCCATTCAAATGCCTAAGGAATGACTGATTTTATAAAAGATTGACATGACTGCCATTTTGAAATTTTGTATTGAACCAAGATAATTAGCTCTCACATTATTTCTATTAACCTACATACAAAGTTTCATAAAGATTTGTCGGGAAAAGTCAAAGATAAAAGCGTTTATGTAAATGTTTATGGGAAAAATACAAAATGGTGGATCTTATTTTTGTATGTAGAATCCGGTTATGCATTGCGTGCTACGGATTTTTGTGAAACCCTGTACAGCAATGTGGTTCCTCTCTAAATTTAAATAAAAAAATCTGCACTTTTCC